TTTAAAACTTCTACACGTGATTTTTGTAACGCTCTTACATTTTCAACATCCAAACACACATACCCACACCTAGAGTAAAATAAATTTGGACACGCGAGAAAACTCAGCATCGATGAAACAACCCAAGAAATGGGTAGAGAAAACGTGTAGATGGAGACGGTTGTAGAGAGACCGCATATACAAATGAGGTTCGCATTTTGTGAACAACTTATCTGCTTCACTCATTTCTTGGATTGTTTCATCGATATCCACTTTTTCATGCATATCTGTCTTGTGATTGGGCTTTCCCCTCCACCTCAACAAATTTTAAATAAGTGCGGTGGTAGGTGATATATAGGTGATTCAAATGAGAGCCGAAACAAAGCGCTAACTTAAATTAGTAAAAAAAGGTTCAGGGGCTTTCATTCGTATGAAGCACGTTTTGCAAAAGAAAAAACGACAGTGGGAAACAAACCTTCTTTTGTAACCTGGCGAGGGAGAGCACTGCCACCACGCCACGGGGACCCTTGTAGCCGTTGCGGGCAGCTGGGCTTATCAACTGCCACTACTTCTCCATGCTTAAGCATGCAAATTTTGAACGCTCACAACCTTTTTGGTAGACTCATTTTGCAGTTTTGATTTCCATATTGCTTAATAACTTTCCAAGCCCTATCGATATACATAGGTCTCTATTCAAAGTTCCATGGGAAGTTGAAACCCTTCCCTGGTTAGTGCGAGTTTAGCTTGCACTTCAGGGCATAGTTCACGTTGATTTTGGGGCTACGAGTTATAGACGAGTAATGGAAGTGATAATCTGGAATTGTGCAAAAGCGGTGAAGAAAATGTAGAAATCGCCGTGTTTAGAGAAACATTAGGCTTCAAAGGCTGTGAGGTTAGGGGGTGCAACCTCTACAGTAACACCTCTACAGTACTGCATTAGAAGAATTTTCGACCATGCTGAGATGAATTGAGAATGGCTTATATACTAAACTCCACAGCCAAGACCGTGAGAAGTCGTCCGCATTTAGGTGTGTACGTCGAGTATACCCTTAGGGGGGGGGGCCTTATTACGCTATACTTCAGCCGTTTTTCGACCAGCAGCATCCTTTCTCCTATCCGAGGCGAGAGCAACCTCATCAGGCGATGAAGTCTCAAAAACCATTTTTCCGTGAGGTGTGCCTTTAAAATCAATAAGGTTTACTGTAGCTCAATAGCCCAAGTATGGTGAATATCTCGATGAACAAGGCTGATTGCAGGAGGTTTTTCTTATAACTATGTACGGTTTGATTTTTGATTCGTTGTAAGATTTCTCAGACTTGTAGTGTGATAGCTGTTATATACTAATACTAATCGAGCTATAAATAGCTTAAACCGTGTACTTTCGAAATCATTCCCCCATCTCCATTGCATCTTCACTTTCGAATGAGAAGATTCCCTTGATGGAAATTGAAGAGAGGGCTTGAGGAGTCTAGCCAGAGGCTTAGCGTGTCCATTACCTTTAATAAAGATGTTTTCCGTTGCTTGAGTTGTTATTTTTTGAAGGTTGGTGGTAAGAGGGAAGCCATTGCTACTCAATCAAATGTTATTGCTGCTATCTATGGCCTTGGAGTTTATAAACACAGCTATATCCCTCACATCCAGTAAATCAGCCAGTGAATAAGAAATTCGAGGATCAAGGAGAGATGTAGTTGTTCTGAGGTGAAATGTGAGGCATTCCATAATTCTCTTTGTACCCATAACACTCGGGCGTTCCTGATGAAGTGTTTTTTGTGTTGATCAAAACCAAAAGTTCTCTCTGTCGAGGAAATCGTCCCCGAATCCCGGGTTCCTCTGAGTGTGGGTCAGATTCTGAAAAGTTAGAAAAAATGGATGCGGGCGAAATTGGGAACTGCAACATACAGTGCAGGCTCGTCCTTTTTTTCAAATAAAATGAAGATGGAAAGAGAGCGTTACTGATATTTTATGCACAGTCCTGGCACAATGAAATTGTGAATTCTACCGTGTCCAACAAGCGAATGGTCTCCCATATCGGAACCGAGAAAACACGTGTACGGCAAGGAATGCCCGCTAAACATGTCCAGGAAACAGCATCTAAGGATCGTTTACTCCTTCTACGCAGTAGCCTAGCTTTATAAGCGCTCCAAGCTCTGGGATAATAGGTCAGGGCGTAAATTACCTAACACGGAGTACGGTAATTCTGCGCGGTCACGGTTGAGTAATTCTTTTAAAAATCAAAGTCTACATGAAAAGCATTACCAGAGATGGTCGGCGATTGTTCAAGTAACGTTGCGAAGAATTGCTTTGAGTCTGAAATTTAAAAAAATGCAATATTATGCAGAGCCAAAAGTTTAAATCGAATGTAATCATAATGATTTTATGAGTAGGAGAAATGCCTTTATTTTTCTTTCACTCTTAATTGTCTTTGTCGGAAGGATTTCTTGTGAAAAAGAATTTCGGAAGGCACCATAGCTCCGGAATCGGATGCCAAGTAAGAAGTACCGCAGTGAGACCCATGATTGAAGTATTAATATCTCAGATGAAATCCTAAATTAACGAAGTGCTTTACCACTCATCCGCTGAGCCATCACTGCAATATTTAGAGATAAGGAGAATATCGATTTTCTCATTGATTGGTCTTCGTGAATTATTGTAATGATTGAGTTAGCAGCCAAGGTGTCTACGAAAGTCGGATGCATGGCGCCTCCAGAGGACAGTTGCCTATACCGAGTGATGAGTATTTCTGCTCTATCCATTCTACGAAGATTTTTGAGCTCTAAACCTTACGAGTGAAATCTCATGATCCTCCCAAAGTTGAACCTCAGGGAGGAATTTGCTTCCTCGTGTTCGCCCATCAGGAGCTACTTCTAGGCTTTGCTCCGGAATTCCCTTAATCTACAATACGAGAGGGTAACGATCCACCGAGAAGGAGAATAACGAAGGATTGGTGGAATTTCCTGTATCGCTGCCATCATCCTCCTTTGCCTCTAAATCAAGAAGATTTGTTAAGGGGTGCACAATTTCCCCGAGTGTCCATCCTTTGACTTAGGCTTACGCTTTTACTCTCCTTACCCAGAATGAATCCGTGCTTCATTCTCATTTCGGTAATCCTCCTGGTTTAGCTCGAATATAAGTCAATATTTGAGCTAGAGCTTCGCCATATGTTGACGAACACAAGTAATTACCGTTTGCTGAAGTAATGTGGCAGTAATAACTATGTGGGCAGCATGGGCAGTTGGGAATGCCGAAGCACCGTTTTCATGACACTACCTCGAGGCAATACGATATTTTGGATGATCATCACAAAAGAAATTGTAAAAACCAGAAAGGCAGTGATGAGGGAAACGACTTATTTTCCCCAAACTAAAACTTTCAAAATTGAAATAGATGTTTTGCTTCTAGTAACGAATAGACAGAATCAGGCTGAAAGGTCTGGTTTCGGTCGCCGCCTACGTCGCCTCCATCCATACTAGAAAACTATCAAGTTTATCCTGTAGCCACTTTGGGAACTCCATTATCCTGTAGGTAGAGATTCTGTTTTTCGGAGCGCGATCAGGATGTTTTTTTCCGAAAGTTTTCGTGAAGCGAAAATTGGAAATCGGAAAACCGAAGCCCAATCAATTATGTAATGGCTATTTATTGAACCTTGAAAGATTGACACCGAGTTGCTTATCGCACATCTGCGTCAGATGCTTCTCAGCTCTTGGTGCTAATTGTAAGTGCGAATTGTGCAACCTCCACAGGTTCTATCACAAACAAGAACTCGTCCGTGTTGGGCATGCACGCCGCCTAAGCCGACTCTGGGGCTCTCACTATGCCTTGTATTGGCCGTTTTCCGACCCGACAACGTCCCCTAGGCTTTCTTTGGGTGTCGTAGGTCCAGAAAATGTAGAAAACCCACGAACTTTTTTTGCGTGAACTGTGTCTTTAAGGAGAAGAAGATGAAGGTCGTATAAAATAAGAGAATCCTAAGAAGATGTCTACGAAACTGAAGTTTTGTGAATGCACCGGTGCAGATTCCCCCGAAGCCTTTGATACCGTATCCGTGTAAAGAAGAGTTAGTTGTTGCATTCAAAAGTAATTATTATTATACGCAAGAAAGAGTAAGTTCTGGTATAGTACAGACAGTTTCGCTTTAGGTTTTAATTATATCAAAACTTTTGAAAAATCACTCACTTCCTTGTGCCGTCGTATAGGTGGGAACATTCGATGACTGCCTTCTCAATTGTAGCAGAGCTTAGAGCTTTCAAAGCTGCTGCTGCCACCGTTGCTACTATAAATGCTAACACGAGGTGAGGAGGTACATTCGAGGGGCTTCACCTCCACCAAGAAGGTTTCCCGTGTCTGCAAATTAGAAAAATAGGGTCTCTTCAC